TATAACATAAAATATACAAAAGCCTGACATTTTAAAGGTTTTTATCTTTGCCTGCCTGACGGAGGACATTAGGCTAAAAAGGAGGACATGTCCTCCTTTTGCCTGACATCTGGCAACCCTAGATGTAGCTCCTATAGAAGTTGAGAAATGGGGCAAAAAAGAGAGAAAGCTATTTTTACCAAGTTTTTTTTTTTTTTGAGAAACAAACCTCTTGCTTTCTTTCAATGTGTATAGTTAATGACTGTAGACGTCCCAGCAATTCTCTAGGTAAATATTGCAGTTTGTGGGAAAATAGCCTATCTGCAGGTAATGAAAAGATCTGTACAGTATGGAGGTGGGGCAAGAGAACGCATGAAGTAGGTAATAAGCAGAGCACTCTCAAAATGGCCACTAAATAACTTCCATTGTTCTTTGTGAGTTCAGCAGGGTTTAGGTTGGTGTGGGGTCCATATAGCTGAGCTGTTTCAGAGCTTGGTGGCTTAAGGAGAGTAACTTGGGATGGGGGAATGCTTGAGAGTTTGTTGGAATGGGAGTTTGTTGGGGTTATTTCGTGTGTAAGACTTTTGTATGTGCTTTTTGAAGAACAGGAAGCCGTGGGTGGCTTGTGTAATAATTAGCTGAGTTGGTGTGGGTAAAACAAACATGTTTGAATGCACTTCCTTTCCATTTCGCTCTCAGCCTGCCATTGGGTGTTTTATTGTCCTGCAATTCATCCTCCTCCAGTGTTAAGCTTAATTCCCAGTTGTGTGTGTGGGGGGGTGGTGGTGTAGCAGTTTAGACTAGTACTTGGCTGGAACTGAAGAGATCCAGTTTCCATTTTATTTTTATCCTCTCGAATAGTGAGAAATTCTGGGGACAGCAGCGCCTGGGCTTTCTTTCTTGTGGAGCGGAGTACACTGCGCATATTATTGTGCATTTCCAAAATCTGTGTTGTTCATAGCTATATGAACAGAGCTTTTGTGGAAGGAAAGAAAACCAGTGTCATGTAGTGCTTGGACTAAGGCCTGGAGATATACAGATCTCAGTTCCCACTGAACTACAAGACTCGACCTCATTCAGTCCACCGGAACCTATCTCACAGGGCTGTTTTGGAGAATAAATGGGGAGAAGGACAGCCTGGGAAGCTGCCTAAGGCTCATTGGAGAGAAAGGGAGAAAATGAATGCGTCTGGAGGAAATGGGGCCTCTCTCTCTCTCTCTCTCTCTCTGTGAGTGAGTGAGTGTGAGACAGAAAGAGAGAGAGAGCAATTAAAAGGGGGAGCAAAGTGCAAAGGAAGAGTTTAGCTAGCAAGTCTTAAGTGGAGGATTTCCCCTTTTGTGATTCACATTCCAGGTGCAGAGGATACTAGCCACCTCTGTTTGAGATTTGTTTTGCACAGCTGCAAAAGCAATAGAGGGATAGGCAGGGGGGGGAGAGGAGAGGAGGGAAATGCAAACTTTATTTTATCTAAATGAAATGTGTGGGCAGCAGGTGGAGGTGAGCTATATGGCCCAGAATCTGGGCTTTAGCTGGTTGCTTCTAGAAAAGAAGAATTTGAAGAAGACAAGAAGAATAGATACACAAAGAGACAAAAATTATAGAGAGGCTTGCTCTGGACAATTAATGATTAAGCTGTCCAGGCAGGGACAATCAGATTATGGCAACCCTACCCCATTGACAACTGAATGAAACAAAGCACCCAACCAGACCAAACTCAATAATTACCTGCATAGACCACAATTCCTACTGCAATCTCTGTATTCCTCACTGAGCACCCACGAAGAAGAAGGCTTTCATGATTAAAACCAATCCGTGTGAGATCAGGCTGCTCCCTACAAGGAAGAATGGGATTTTTCTTGTTTGAATTTATATTAATTCATTCAGGTCATGCCCTACTCTTCTAACCCTCCAAAGCTGCTGAGGAGCAAGGAGAGGGTTGTTGTTGTTGTTGTTGTTGTTGTTGTTGTTGTTGTTGTTGTTGTTGTTGTTGTTGTTGTCGTCGTCGTCGTCGTCGTCGTCGTTGTTGTTGTTGTTGTTGTTGTTGTTGTTGTTGTTGTTGTTGTTCTCTTTACTTCAATGGGCGCTGCCCCTAAGGCCATGCCCATTGGATGGGTTCTGCTCAGGGCTATCCCTTGTTACTGTGACCATCTCTGCAGGGCCACCCAGAAAGGTTATGGGGTCAGGGAAAGAGTGGCGTTTTGGGTCTTGCTGACACCCCTGCAAAGGACCCATTGTGTGCAAAACTGAAGGCTGCAAGAGAGAATTATTATATTTCCTGCACATGCATTCTCACTCACTGTTCATCTTGTAAGCAGAGCCATCCCTCTCTAGGTTACATTTTATAGGCGACTTCAGTTTGATAACAGCGGCAAAAATAATTTATGCAGCTTGTTTTGTTACACTGCTCATTTTATCAAGATCTGCGAAGGTCTTTTCTACGGTCCATTCTACAGAAATTTCCTGGGAGAAATACAAATTTCTATATAACTTTGCTGCTTTCAGACAAAGACCCAGATATCGCTCTCAAAGTGGCTAAACATTGTGCTGCTGTGATATCATATCGTAGCCTCCTATCCGTGTGAGGCTACTGGTCGCCCTGGCCTAACGTAATGACAATGAACCTTCAATGATGCAATAATGGCTTTTGGCCTATGTTTATCTGTGCTTGTTACACACCAGTGGTTTAAACAATTACCTGTACTGTACCTCAAATTGGTGTCTATTCTGTTTTGTTCAGAACTACTTAAAGCATTTACTTCATCACAGCTAGGGAGAGCTTCCATCATGTTACAATTCTGTGTTTAGAGTCAGTGTCATCTTATACTCTGATACAGAATTTCTTCTTTTTATGAAAACTGTAAACAGAATAGCAAAAATTCTGGTGAGCAGGAGGAGGACCAGGGCAGGGGCCTGTGATCTATATAGGAACTCACACGGCCTGGTTGCCCCACCTGCACCTAAAGCAGTCCTGCAGCTTTGCTATGGTATCAAGATGCATGCCTGCAACTCGTGCGAGATTGTGAAACACAGCAGTAGAACAGGATCTGCTGCTTCCAGGCTTTCCCTCAACCACGCCGTTGAAAACGGCTCAGAGCGCACTGCCTCTTAGTTGCCACACTGCTTTCGTGCACTCCTACTCCAGTTCTAGGAGTCCTAACAGAATCTTTGTCACATGGTGTGGGTGAATCTCAGTGGGCAACTATCTATAAGCATTGCTCAAAACCTTGATTTCTCAGGCACTGTGCTGTAGTCCACACAAGCCAAAGGTCAAAAACAATAAGCTGGGCAATGGCATTGCAGTGCGCAATGTAGCAGGCCTGTCACAGATTTTCTTTCTTTCAGTTTCAATACAGTTCCTTGTATTGTCTAACTATATTTGCCTTTAATATAGGGAAAAATGATTTCATTCTTGTTGCTGTAACTGCATAGAACTGGGGAGGGTGTCTGCGTCATGCAACATCATAACATAATGTAAGAATTGTTTTCTAAGGCCACCAAATAATGGCCAGTTTAGCAATTTAGTGCAGTTAGGAGGAAGTTCCTAAAGAGATAATCTCCAATATCTTTTCATTGCATCTTTAGGAAATGCATGAATGTAAGAATCTTAAAGCCTGGATTTTGGGATGGGGGTGGTGATCAGCATGCTGATCTTCTTGATGCACCCAAATCAGATGTCACTTGTATAGATCCTTGTGTTGACTCTTACTAGCACAGGCACAATTGTCGTAGTGTGAGTGTGGGGAAGATGAAGAGAAGGATTAGTGTCCTTTACAATTGTCTAGAATACAGTTAAAGCCTGGATTTTGGGATGGGGGTGGTGATCAGCATGCTGATCTTCTTGATGCACCCAAATCAGATGTCACTTGTATAGATCCTTGTGTTGACTCTTACTAGCACAGGCACAATTGTCGTAGTGTGAGTGTGGGGAAGATGAAGAGAAGGATTATTTTCCTTTACAATTGTCTAGAATATAGGCTTCTCATGTAGAGCATCTCCTGTTCAATCCTTGCTACCCCCAATTAGAAAGAGCCTATAAAAAAGAACATGTAACTGAACATGATAGACATACTGATTGTAGAATAATATAAATTATACTGTCTTACATGTAGCCTTTAAATCTGTTGAGATCGTTGTTGGGCTTTTCACAAACAATGATGTTTTGGAAAAATTCTGGCTCAAATTCAGTATTCTGGAAGAAATCAAAACCATACTGAGTTTTAGCATCAAAGTAACATATCTGAATACAAACTAGAATTATGTTTATGGGCCTTTTCACAATCTTTTCATTTGTTAGGAATTTATAGAAACACAGATGTGTGTCGTTGAAATGGATATAAAGGTGACCTGATCCAAGCATGGCTTAGCCTGTCTATTAAGCAACCCTGTGATGACATTTCTAGAGAGTTAGCTGTGTAGGTCTCTTATAACAAAACAAAACTTTCTCTGCCACCTTAAAGGCTAAAACACTCTTTCTCTGCCACCTTAAAGGCTAAAACAGTTACAGTAGTATAGGACAAACGTTTATGGTCACTGTCCGTCTTTAAAATACTACAGGGCACACTCTTGATTTTCTATGATAAATGTTTTTGCCATGTGATTGCAAATGATCAAGTTTTAGATTAGGTTTAGGAGTAATTTCTAAAAATAGCCCTATATTCAGATTTGTTCAAGTATTAGTGTAATTGTAGGTTCAGTTGTTTTCATCGTTAAGGATGATATGAAAGCAGAAAGTAATTGTAGTGAAGAATTCAAAATTATAAGTAATGAAATAACAGAGAAGGCAAAACATCCCATGACATTTGCTGTACGTTTATTACCTGAATAAAATGCTTTACATAGTTGCTATGACCCATTAAAGATGCTCTATTCTGAATAGTAGGTTCAAATATGTGGCAAAGTGAAGAGCTAAAGTTGGTGGAAAAATCACAAACAATAAGATCCCCATATCCATGAGGGACCAGTTCCACAATCTACCACGATACCATAAACTGTGGATATATGAACACTGTATATATAGTGTGAAAAGAAGAAAAGAAAACAACGTAAGCTGGGGCTTTATTTCTTATATATTTCATTTTGTAAACAAAAATTACGTAAACTGAGGTGTTCTCAAACCGAGGTACTACTGTATATATATAATTTATGTAATTTTTGGTTTACGTACTGAAATCCATAAGAAATAAAGCCCCAGTTTATGTTGTTTTCTTTTCTTCTTTTCACACTACAAAAAGGTTTTCCCAGGGCGCATTGCGCCTATAGTGCCACCCCTTATGTAGTGCAATTTGTGTTTCAGTTTGCGAAATTTCTGTACTACATAATGTTGTGTAAAACGGATCCGTTTCCCAAACCGAGGTACTACTGTAGTATAAAAGGCAGGTGGATGATGACCACAAGAGGACACTCTTGTATGTTGTATATAGGGCTTTGGTAAACCATGAGAAAGTAAAACCAGCTATACTACTCCCATGGATATGGGGATCCTACCATACCCAATACAGGGGTGCCTTGCTAGACAGTTACCCCACATGGCAGTTTTTTCGCTAGACATTGACTCTTTGCGATCACTGTAGTGACTCACAAAACAGTGATTCGTATGGGGGAATTTCGCTGGACAATGTTTGGTCCCTGCTTCGCATACCGATTTTTTGCTAGACGACGATTTTGACAGCTCCCTCCGCAGTCGCGAAACAGGTGTTTTCGGGACCAAAGCTTCGCAAGACAGTGATTTAAACAGCTGATTGGCAGTCCGCAAAGCGGCTTTCCTATGGCCGATCCTCGCTAGACAACGACAATTCTTCCCCATTGGAATGCATTAAACAGGTTTCAATGCGTTCCAGTGGGGAAATGCTTTTCGCTAGACAATGTTTTGGCTAAACAGCGATTTCAGTGGAATGGATTACCATCGTCTAGCGAGGCACCACTGTATTTTAATAGGCTGGCTAGTGTGGTAACATGGAGTGAGTGATGGACTAGCTCTCAGGGGACTTCAGTTCAAATCTCTGCTGGGCTGTGGAAAATAACTGGGGGTGCCACTGGTAAAACCATTCCTTGAATATGTCAAATACCATGCCAACCGTATTAGGGTTACCAAAAGCATGTAAGGAGAACATTATTTTAAGATTACATCAATAGCTTCTTTTATGTTTCTTGTATTTTAATTATGGTCCATGAAGATTTGGGATTTAATGGCAATTGCAGCAAATTCAGGGAAAGGCAAAACAAATCAGATCAGTCTCTTCTGTCTTATGTGGAATCCAAAACTCTCTTTTACTTTGTTGGCAATTGTGGTTCATAAGCCATGGGTATCTATTCCGGCTCCTTTTTAAAAAAACGATTTGCCTTAAACCTGAATTTTATATCATCTTTACCTGAGGGGTTTAGAGAACTCAAATCCTCATCTTATTTGGGACTTTTTACTAATGCAGGAAAGGTGTTCCCCCAGCCATGAACTTTGTTTTATCCTCCTAATGTTGCTCATTTAACTTCCTTTTTCTTTTATCTGACACTTATGATCGATATCTTTGGGAATCACTCAGGAGTGTGGGGAATATAATCTTCTAAAGTTAAACAGCCATGTGGGTTAGAGATTTATCTTCTGAAGATGGCACAATAGTGATAATTCAATGTATCATTTCTGAAAAAGAAACAAGATGTGTAGTAACAAAGCAATATTGTGTATTTATATTTCTATCACAACTGCCAGTGACAGTCAATTTGCACCCAACACAATCTTTCACTTTTAAATGTATCCTAATTTTCTACCCAGTTATAATGCGTAATAAACATGTACACAAAGTTTTAAGCGGTTGCAGTCAAAACTATGTTATACGTATATGGTTACGTATAACAATTAAAGAGGTGGTTCCATCATTGATTCAGGTTAGTTGAATGGATCTACAAAATGTTACTGCAGACTGGAATCAATCTCTTTATCTTCCCTTCTTTCTACTTTGAGATGACTTCCCTTCATTTGGGAAATTGTTTGTTTTTGGAAGCCTGGTTTGTTCCAGAAGTGTCAGCTCCATCTCTTTCCATGTCCTGAACAAGCCCAGTTCCTATGGGGCGTGCACAATTTGAACTCCTCTGCCACTAGCTGTCATGTCATACGGGGGAGTACCTTACCTCCTGTAGTGGAAAAAGAGACAAGGAGTGGAGATAGGGTGGAGAAATGGGGGGGCAGGAGAAGAAGGAGTGGGAGAGGTTCAAGAAGGAGGAGAAGAGATGTCTTATGATGTGGGAGTTGAAAGTGGAAGACTCTGGATTATATTCAAGGAAAAATGGGAAAAAAGGTGTGGAAACTTGGAATGAGTGATTCTGGATCTATGGGGGGAAAAGGGCTATTCTTCATCTCTCTCTGAGCTATACACCTTTGACTAAATCTAACTACAATCCTATGAAGAGACAGTAATATCAAATGCTTGCCCAGCTGGTGCCTTTTCTAGTTGGCCTAATAAAAGGATTGCCCCAGGGCGAAAACCAAAGCAATATGCGCAACTTCTTGCTCCTTGGGTGGTCCTTACAAAGGAGCAGCCAACAGATGAGTGGCCCAAGGACCTGCTTCTTGACCTACCATATTAGAGAATCCTTTAACTACTTGTCTTTGCTTAAGGTTGGTCTCCCCATCGAGATTGGCTGTCTCCAAGTGGCAGATGCCATTCTGTTCAGAGGAGTAGAGCAGCAGGAGGTCAGCAGGGATGATCTCATTGCACTGCAACTGCACAAAGTCTCCCACTCGGACATCTTTCCAGCACGTCTCACAGTAGGTGCGTTTGTGCCTGTGTGCACAAAAAGAAGAAGAATTACTGAAATTCTTTGATTCCCTCCAGTCAATACCTGATCTTTTTTCTTTCCGTATTTTTCCTAATTTATTTTTTACTCTATCTTCTGTCTTGTAATTGTTGGGAGATATTTTATGTAATGATTTTTGTGTTATTTTTTATTTGCTGTTATGTCGTATTGGAAGCCGCCTAGAGTGGTCTTAGGACCAGATGGGCGGGGTACAAATAAAAACAAACAAACAAACAAACAAATAATAAGAAGACCCTGTAACTGAGTGGCTAAGTCTAGGCCTATCAAGCAAGATACAGAAAGAGGCCTTTCTTTTTCAGTACAGGGTGGTCAAAGCCAGAGAAGCTTTAAAAAATAAATGTAAAACATTTTTTTCATATCCTGTTGTTTCCCTCCACACTTTATATATCCTGTTGTTTCCCTCCACATTGTGTTCAGGGTATTTTATCTCTCACTTTATAATTCTAGGAATGTAGAAAGAAATTTCCACCTCGAATCAAAGCATGAAGAACACAACACACTATGGCGTGATCAATAATATAAATATCAGCAGTGACAACAATAAAAAACTAAGTACATTTGTTTATTAAAAGGTTGAGCAAATACAACAGTTTTTACCTGGCTTCAGCTCACTATAGAAGACAGCTGGTCAAGTAGTGCACCACTGCAAGGAAGCAAAAGTGTCCCCCAAAAGCAAAGTGTGCAGCTTATATACTGCCTCATAGTGCTTAAAGCACTCTCTGGGCGGTTTACAATTTAATTATGCAGGCTGCATATTGTAACCCCCCCCCCTGAAAATTGGATACTCTGTTTACTGATCTTGGAAGGATGGAAGGCTGAATCAACCTCAAGCTGGCTGCTTGGGCCCACCGGAATTGAATCTAGGTCTTGAGCAGAATCTTGACTGCAGTACTGCACTTTAACCATTGTGCTATAAGGCATCACTCCATAAAGCCAGATAATCTTTGCTTAGCTTCTGAAGGAAAAGTTATTTAGGAAAAATGACCTTGCATAGAACAGTTTTGTATGGTGCAGGCAATATTTTGGATATTTTGGTTTTAAATTGCATGGGGCTTTCTATATCAACAGCAACACTTTGAGCTGTGTTCGAAAGGCAGGAAGAAGTGTAATGTTCGCAAAATTGATCCCATATGAGTATCCCCAGTCAGAAATCTGGCTCTTGTGTTTTGCAGAAAAAGTCGTTTCTGAGTAGTCTTCAAGGGCATCCCCATGTACAGTGCATCGCAGTAGTCTGAGCCAGAGATGGGTAAGCCTCAGGCTTGACAGATCTATTTGGTTATCTTAGCTGAACAGCAAGGACCTTCAAAGCCTCATGTGGACAAATGGCTTCTGTTTCTCTTCATTTAGAATGAAGGCTCAGGGGTCCTCTGAACTATTGCTTAGAAACGCTATATTTTCCCCCAGCTAGGACTTCCAGAATATTGGTCAGAATCACTGGAGGGCTTCTAGCAGTTATACGCCAAAATGACAAGTTTCCCAATCTCACTTTAGTTCAGAAATATTTTCAGTGCCAAAAATGATTTCAGTTATTTCATTCACAAAAAAATCATGTAGAGTTTTCTCTTCATGTTTTCCTCATCAGAGTGCCAGAAGACCAGCTTCAACCATCCACTCACTCACTCACTCACTCACTCACTCACTCACTCACTCACTCACTCACTCACTCACTCACTCACTCACTCACTCACTCACTCACTCACTCACTCACTCACTCACTCACTCTTTCTTTCTTTCTTTCTTTCTTTCTTTCTTTCTTTCTTTCTTTCTTTCTTTCTTTCTTTCTTTCTTTCTTTCTTTCTTTCTTTCTTTCTTTCTTTCTTTCATTTTAAAATAAAATAAATAAAAATTAAAAAAAATCTTTGATTAATATATCGCCTATCTGGCAGCCAAGACCACTCTGGGCGGTTTACAACTCTTAAGAAGAGACCATTTATTACTGATTAATGTCTAGGGAAGGTTTCTTGAGAAGTGACCTAAGACTACCACTTTCAAGATGGAGTGGGTGGGTGAAAGACATTAGATCAATAGAGGGCTCTGTTCAGGTGTTTGTCTGAGGCACTAAGTGGGTAGAAAGTCAGGTTGTCTGGCACTTGCTCTGATTCTTGAATCCATGAGCCTGTCCATCCTGCCCTTCAGTCCTCGATCTCCTTGCATTGAGCAAGGATTTCTGAAGGCTCTCTTTCTCTCTCTCTTTCTCAAGTACAGTATTCTTTTGAATATGAATGCAAGAGCATGAGATACTAAACGACTAAAAAAAAAAAAGAACAGAAAACTTTCATGGGTTAAATCCATTTCTTCAGGCTATGCACACATATTTTATGGATAGTGCAGCAAAACTGTAAATAACAGTAAAAAAACACAAACTCATGGCAGATGTTTGGGCCGGATCTCCTTCTAAGGGGTGAGTTCAAACCCTGACTGCAAACATCTCCTGGGGTGCGGTCTCAGGCCCCACCCCTGGTAGTTTGGGTGGAATTTTCCGACCCAGCTCTTCAAACAAAGGATTGACCATGAAATCTTGCTGTTTGTTTGATTTTTTTAGTGGTCTAATAAATGTATCATCTGCTGCAGCATGGCTTTTTTGTAATTTTTTAATTTGAACCTGAGTTTCTCTGATTGCCCCGAATACTGTAATCATATGCAAATAAACACAGGAAGAATGACCTTCCTATATCCCTGGCCAACATGAGGAAGTTAGGGATTAAGGAAGCAGCAGTCAACAGAGGAGAGGGGGGGTGAAGGGATGTGAGGGACACAGCCACCATACATGGCCTGCTTCTTCTACCTACTTAGAGATGTTTCCTGAAAACACCAGGACAGGCCCATAAAGACTGGATCATGTTTACTTGGTAAACTTTTATAATGGAGTAGAGCAGGCCTTTCAGCCAAGGTTTTAATTTTTTGGTCCACCTCTAGATACTCTATTTCTCTTGGCCTTGGTGTATATAATAAGAATAAGAACCAGCCATCTTGACCAAGAAACAAAGTCCAAAAATCCAAATTCCGTATCTGTTGTCCCAGCTGTGATGAAGGAGAAACCACATACTCAAACATGACAGTCTCGGATGATCTGCTGCTATTTTCAAATTGTTGAATCTCTTAGTACAAGGCGTAACTGGAATGGCCATCTTGAACAGACTAAATTGAAAACCACCAATGTTTCGCAAATTGTTTTGTTTTGCTTTGCTAGAATTGAAGTGTGGAGGGATGGCTGAGGGTCCCAAAATCAAACTGTGCTTTTTATTTCTCATCTCTTTCTATTTTCAGCCATGTATCTTTCATTATTAGCTAACTTTTTCCCTTCAAGTTTCTGTATTCTTTGCCTGTTCATGTTCTCTGTCACTAAATTGGGAATGCGTAACAGGAAATAAATTAAACTGAGTAATGGCAGACTTGGTGGCTGTCACTTGCACACCCACCAAAAAGGGATAGGTGGTGCAGGATCGATACTTTAATCATGGATATGGATGGGCAATAAAGTATGTATTTGCTGGAGGAACAAATCTATGATGAGAGATTGTACACATTTTAAGAGAGGGGATTAAAACATCAAATGGTTTTGATAAATGGGAGAGTTAGCCAACCGTCAATACAATGAAGAGAAATGTAAAGTACTGCACCTATGGAGGAAAAATATTTCAGCTTTTTTCAGCATGCTTGTGTCTGATGGAATAAAAGAAACCAAGAATATTAATATTTTTCAAGTCTAGGCAGCAGGATAAGGTAGTGCATCTTGGTATGGTCTTGCTTTTTACAATAATTTTGATAAGGAATTACTGAAATTTCTATATGGGATAAACATGTACAGTTGTGCACACAATGGATTTATCACTTATGTCAAAGAGACCTTACTAAAGGTAGCCAATATGTTTCTCCACAGAGTGCTCTTTAACAACCGGGTGTGCAAGACACTGGCACAGAGCACACAGAGTGAAGATATTATTTGTGTATACTGGTATCCAGATGTTTGTCAACTGGATATTCCTTTCTGGCGCCTCCACGGAGTATTTAAACAAGATAGTAAAGACTATTTTTGCACACATTCCACAGATATTTCTGAGAGCCAGCACATGTCCATGCTGGTGTGGGGATCAGATTTCAACCAGGAGATCCACTGCAGGAAGGTATTGAAATGTTTATGACAAATATTATAGAAATTCTACCGTGCAGTTCTGCTTTGGTTGGGGTACATATGAGCTGCATTCTTTATCCAGTTGTTGCAGGATCTTGGTATGTGAAAAGTGGGAGCCTATTTCCACCCAGCTTCATCCTTTTTGACACCTAGTCAGCACCACTGGGAAAGCAAGTCCTCTTTCTTTGTCATTAAAAGAGGGGGATCCTTTATTAGAACTGGTATACATGGCTTGGATCCTGCAGATCCCTTCTGGATTTGCTCTTGCTGGGAAATTCAGCATATAGCTGTGGGTTCTAGGGAAGACAGGAACATACTGCTAGATAAGAACTTCAGGGCAAGGCACATCCCCTTAAGCTCTGGGTCCAATATGTTCAGTTTGGCCTCTCCAACCTGCCTGAAATGATGCACACCTACAACAAAGTGCTGTAGTACTGATACCCTTCCATCTTCCTGTACTATGTTATCAGAAGCCCTTTAATGATTTGGCTCACATAAAAGAGATGTCTCTCTGTGTGTAATACAAGTACAACCAGTCATTCTTTGTCTGTAGAAAATTCTCCATGGTGAAAGACCATTTTCTTTGACCCAGTTTATCCAAAGTGTTGGAGGCAGTGGGTGTGGCATAGTCAATGATTAAAGAGAAAACGGTACATTACTTCCTCCTGAAGTTTTGCCTGGAAAAAGAAAGAGGCTATTTCACTGATAAATGAAACAGCTATTTCAGTTCATTACTTGGAGTGATTTGAATGTCACAGCATGTCTGGTGTACGATCATTATGTGAGGCATTTATTCCCATTAGGGCTGAGCCCTGGCCAGTGTAAAACCTGGTG